CTTTTTGATGAGTCGGTTAAATAACATACAAATGGCCGTCAAGCTCTGCGCTGTCGACTTACAGCTGCCGTTGAGCTGCACTGTATCGAGCATGATGCTCGATACAGTGCGATAAGCTTTACTGAAGACTTGTATATCTCACTGAGATATACAAGTCTTTACTGCGAGATGATGGCGAGTCGCGGAACTGAAGGCTGACTTGCACATCACCGTGGTGGACAGGTGGGCTAAAAATGAAGTTCACAGCCGCAAGCCGACCCTAAACTACTAGCGAGGAAAGTTCGAGGGAAGCTACTGAGGATCACAACAGCCGTGTATTGAAGAGGTTGAAACTCACTCTACTTGGACAATAGAGTGATTCGAATAGGTAGACTTGTGAAGTCGTAAATGAGAACTTTGGAGCTCTACTTTGCGAAGAGTGTTTTTTCACTTCATTGCTGTAGGTGAGCTGCTTATCGCTTCTGGGAGCATATGCTTTGCTGACTCAGCGATGCTGAGTTCTATTGCCGTCTACCCACCACCTTGTATTTCAATTTTAGTTTTATTTCCTCGTCGGTTCTCACGAAGGAGGGACTCTTATAACATTGACCGCAGGCGTTCTGTGGTGGACGTGTGTATAGTGTAGCTACTATTAAGAAGATCTAGTTAAGAGCATGATCAGTGTATTGGTTGAACTAGAACGCCACAGAAATGAGTAAGAGACATGAGTGTATTCGATATTCGACCATAAAACCATTGAAAAATTGCTTTGGGAATGAATCCAGAGAAAAGTTGAAAAAATAAGACGCGAGAGAATGTCTTTCACCTTATACGGGATTCCACTGATTCTACTAAGCAAAAGTACACGGAATAAGGGACAACCGTTTCGGTTAAGATCGACACAATAAAGGAGTATTGCGAACATACTGCAGGTGAGCGAACTACCAACAGAATCCATAGAGAAGCGAACAACAATTGAGCATCGTAGCAGTACCCGTCAACGCTAAGGATAACGAGCGTAGTAACTGTAGCCGGTTTTTGTTATATCTAAACAGGAGAACAGGGATCCGTGAAATGCGAGTGCCCTGCCGTCACCAAAAGAAATTATCAAATCCGGCGCGGGTATCGGACCAACATCCTCGACGCTCATAACTTACTGATGATCAGCTCGTAACCGACTTTCTTGTATAGCGCGATGGCAGCTGCATTGTTATATCTCACTACCAGAGACATAGCACCGAATGAGGGTATGGTTACAGATATCTGAGAGTAAGACTGTTGAATGGCCCTTTAATACGTAGAGCTTGGAAAGCCCCATACTGTGAATCTACCAAATGAAAGCTCTCTTCTAGAAGAGTTTTGGCGATCCCTTGTCCACGCCGATCCTCACGCACGTAAACCTGCAGGCACAAGCGAGGATATCAAGGAAAATATATGACGAGAACGGCAATAGAGAAAGGGAAATACAGCATCTGGCTCAAGAGGATTCGAGTTATGATAAGATCATGTGTCTCGATATGGGAATATTTAGGATCATTTCACTTACATATGTAATATAGCCGAGTACCCCATTCTTCTTCTTCCTAAGAAAGCGGAGACAGATATATTTGTTCAGGGTCATGTGACGGTACTCCGAGCATCAATATGCCAGGAAATTCCGACTAAGACTGCCCGTAGAGTCACAGTGAATCGACTATGAATGTCGTATGAGCTGATTGCTATGTTGTTGAGACATCTTCTATGGCCCACATTTTCTTCCTGATGAGTTTCTCTATATTATTCGGCATTCCCTGATACGGAATCTTGTGTTTGACGACGCCGATAGTCACCTGGGAGCAAAATACTGAGCGGTACAATAACATATTCTTGCTTCTTTCTGTCCAGTGTTATCGACGGCTACGTAACAATAGATCCCAGGAGCCAGACAATTGGAAAGGTCGACACCCATCAGCGTATCTCCAGATTTATACCAACGATAGACTACGCCATCCGATGGGTCTAGTGAGTCATTGTTGAGCATAGCATCTAGTTGAGAGTATTGATCGGAATACCCGACCACCATCATGATGAGAAGGACGACACCAACAGGGATGTAACGGATGTTCATATTTTGAGTTATCAACTAACAACGTTAGGACTTGCTAGTTCACTTATTGTGAATGTGAGGACGGAAATTCCGTCACAGAATCCATTAGATAGTCTACAGTCTGAATTTTAGGCACAAGTCTCGTCGCAGCGCAATCTCGATCAACACATTCTGTCAATCGAAAGTGTTGATCGAGGCCCAAAATGTCGGGAACCAGACCAGGCCCTGGTCACCAGGGGGGCCCATGAAAGACATTCTACCAAGAGCCAAAATGCACATTATAAACATTAGAGACTGCGATTTTCTTGAATCAAGAACAACGAACTCGACCGAGTAAATCAGAACGCGTGCTCGCACACATGTGGTCCACGTGATTAAGTTTCACGTAGACTCTGTGCCACAGGAGAGGAGTTATCTCTGTGGCGCATAGAGGAATACCATTGTGGAAGATCCTCTTTCTTTCAATGTATAGCATCAGATTAGGTGCAAAGTTATAGATATACTTCAAAAGTAACTTGGAGTACTTCAAAAGTACTTTAATACTCTATCGGAGAGTACTTCGAACCGCTTGTAGTGGTACTTCGTCTACCGTAGGCGTCCAAAAGCTCCATCACAGTCATATTATAATCGTGATATCATATAGGTCGTCGAGGCTCCGGAAATCACCCTCGAATCAGTTCCAAGATTTTCTCAGTCGCTTGCAAGCTTGATATACTGCATATCAAGGTTGGCGCGCAAGTTGCGCGCCTCTCGCAACGTGAGGCGCGCAAGGTGCGGTTGTTGTGAATTTCGCACGAATCGTGGGGCAGTGTATCTATCTCAAACCAAGGGTGCAAGTACAAACCAGCGTGGGGTAGCACAAACTTCTTACAGATAGGGACAGTAAAATCGGGTAGTGTATCTATCTCAAACCAAGGGTGCAAGTACAAACCAGCGTGGGGTAGCACAAACTTCTTACAGATAGGGACAGTAAAAACTGCATGGCATGCAAGGCTTGCAAGCGGAACTTGCCATTTTGGGTTCGCGCTGTGCATCATTGCACGATGGTTATGATTTCCGGAATCAGATTTCGTGGCCCGCGACTTGTGGAACTAGTTCCTGCTTGTTGGGTAGCTTCCCCATAGGGACCGTCTTCTAAACTATAACCGATCATTTCGCTACTCGCTATCATGCGCAGTTCGATTATGTTGCCCTCGTCATATCGTACCGGCGGAGACTCCACTATGAAGTCTACTGCGAGGACCACTAGATGAACACAACATGCGCGTTGGTGGTTAGACACCGAGAGTAATTATTCCACACGACCTGTAATACAAGAGTAAACGCTGCAAAACCGTGGATCCACGAGAGAGAAAAGTACTGGAAACAAGACCGGAGTGAGGTAGATCTGAATACCACTTATAATGGTCTGCTGAATCACGTGATTCACGTGACGTGAAGTTGTTCAATTTACGATTCCGACGAAGCTGAAGAATACGAGGTTCCACTCAGTCGGCCTCTAGACGCTTCAGATAAATCCGTCCCTTCACAGCCTTCTCTTCGAGGCGAATGAGAAGCTAATGGTCTAGAGCAAACGCTCCAATGAGTGGAATCCACTCAGTGGATGAACTCCCAGTAAATTCCGCATAGGACGAGCATCTGTGAGTTGGTGAATCAACGCTGTTCCCCATGCCGCTTGTATCTGAGCTGCTAGTGTCATCTGAGACGACTGCTGCCGAGAAGACATCCTGGACGTCGTCAGAGCTGTCCACTCGGTGAGTGTCTGAAAAGACACTACTCCTCGCCCTCCGGAAGGGCTCCTCACAGCACCCTCCACTCGTGCTCCGATTGCTGCTGAGGGTGATCGTCGTACCTGCATCATTCGGCATGATTCTAGGGCCACGGTTTCGGGCTCTGCGGCCTCGATTCGCCCTCCGCAGCTGTTGATGCTCTGGATAGTATCTTGAACAACAGTTGTGAAACATCAGCGAGAGAAAACTCTAATCGTGAATGAGGGGTACGCATACCACGGCACTTTTTCATACCTTTGCTTTGATCCTCTGACAACTTCCACCGCGTATCCATGAGCACAGCATCCCCAATCTCTGGAGTCCTTACAGGTGCACGTGACTTCTGGGAATGCTCCCTGAACTGCCGCTACTAGTTGGAGGCGAAAGTACTTTTCGAGTACGTCGTCAAGCGGCATGGGTAGTTCTGACAGTGGTGAGTTGTGCATATATATGGAAAGAGAGTGCGGCATTGTGATAGCAAAATGCTCTATCGCACCAGAAACTGCACATGCAGTACCTCCGTCGAAGTCAGATGCTATAACTCCCCTCAAATAAATTGCTGCATCTGGATGAGTTGAGCGTTGCAGCTCTACTGGCACGAACCTGTTTGTCTCGACCACGAAGTAGCGGTTCCTCGCTGGCACATGACATAGCTGCGAGACCTCTCTTGTGACCTGTGTTGTCAATGGGGCAGACCAGTTTCGCCAGTCTATGGCGAAGTTTACACGCTCGAGCTATGCTTACCTCCACAATTTTATCTTGATCAAAAAGCGTGGTACCTCGTTCCATCATTCGAATCTGGTATTCTACAAGGTTAATCGTATCGGGCCTCCGGACAAAATGCTGTGGACTGGAATTTTTCAGCGACCGTATTACCTACATTCAGTAACAGCTGAGAGATCAACCGAAAGAAGATTAGCAATGTAGTTTTGGCTCACCCCTACGATCATTTCTACGAAAACGGACATTGACACTGATTCTCGTCCCAGCATTCTCCGGGTGAGTGAACTTCGACAACACCAACAATAACAACTACGGTGAAATGGCAACGGCACCAACGACATTCGCAACAGGAATATTTACTTCGGCAACGCGACATTTAGCAACGCGTTGTTCTACAACATGGCATTCTTTTCCAACTGGCCCGTTAACTTCATCAACGCATGCACTAGCTTTTGCAACAGTGGTTGAATTTCACTAGGGTCAAATTATCACATAGGTACTTTGACAACAGGGCGACAAATCCAACACATTTGCATAGCAAACTCGTTAACACCTGCAACAAGTGTACTTGACGAACTTACATAACATATGAGTTTTGCAGACGTTGGATTTTATGCAACATGGAGGACTTCATCAACTTCTATACTTTAACAACACCCGTACTCTGTCAACACCTTTACTTTTGCAACACCTTCACCTTTTTGCAGCTTACTGTTAACGAGCACTTGCGGTGTGGTGAGTTCGAACTATCTCGTAGGTTTCTCCAACTAGCAGAACAATGTTGGTACTAAATCAAGCATTGCCTTGAAGACACTGTCTTCCTAACTATCTGCATCTCACCTCTAACTGGTATCACAGTGATACTATCACTAGTCTAGTAGCGAGTCGCACAGTCAGTTTATCTGGTAAGAGTAGAGTCTACTGTGGAGTACGCAACAAAGCTAAGCTGTGGAGAAATAGATTCAGATTGCTAGTTCTGCTGTAGACAGATGGATGTAGACAGAATATCGGTATTCGTCGCACCGCCTTGCCACTCGGCTTCCTGGAATCGAAAGAGAATGTACGCGCGACACGACTGGCTAATCCTTCATATCTTTATGTCAATGAGACTTACTCTAAGACGGTCTCAGTAAGGCCCTCAGACAGCAAGATATATAGGAGTCCTATAATAGGACACGCAGGGTTTGGAAGCTATGAGATATAATGGTCTTAGACTTAAAATCCAAGTCTTAGACCGCTGACCTTTTTGAGAGGTACAGAAATATTTCGAAAGAATCAACCGGGCCCGATCGATGGAGTTATCGTCATCCCACCACGACCGCGTGTCGTGATCCCACCACGACGCATTCCACCATGATGACGGAGCATGGTGGTTGTAATCTTCATCCCACCATGATGAGGCGGCGAAATTTCGCTGAGAACCTGCACTACCGTTTGAAGCAGGCCACTGCCAGTTCATATGATCTGAAATAACAGGCATTGGGAGAGACAACCATGCAGGATGACATTGTCGGTTGTTGCAACCGAAAGCCCTTTGGAAAGTTCTCACTAAGGACTCCTTACGACCAAGTCCTACCTGAGTGATTCCGGCTGGAATTGTCGGGAGTGTAGAGCGAGTCATTTCGCATTAGAGCAAATTGTTATAAACGAAAGGCTGTGTAACAGTTTCACAGTAACACCGCATGTTGAACGAACTGAACCAAAGGTAATTCGAGAGAAACCTTGGAATTGCGAAGACGTGGGAGGTTGTCTAGCCTACACCGCTGAGAACGGACGGAGGAATGGAATGAGGATCCTCTACTAACTCTTACGCTACTACCAAGCACTCAGTCACTGCCAGATCAATTATTCTGACCAGTGATCATCACTAATAATTCATCATGGTTAGTATGAAATTATGCCTACTAGGCATTGCCTAGTGGGCATAATGCCTAAAGCATTGCCTAGTAACTTACTAGTAGTAAGACTTACTAGAAAGTCATTGCCAACGATCTTTTCGAATACATAATGAAGGAGCATAACCCGCGCGATGAAATATGAATAGCAAAAGTCATTATGAAAAGATTTGAAATGATTTCAGCATCACTCGCGGCCTGATAGTTAAACACTCAAGGCATTCTCATCCCCAACAGTGACATGATCATCAGACACGACCAGACTGACTAAGTCAGTCAGACTGACCATTGAACTGTTATTCATTTGTTGTCCCACGTATTTTAACATAGTTTCTCACGATCCACCGCTTTCTCTTTAATCCACCTCCCGGTCTTGAAGAATACCATGTTAATTAATGGACTGAGCCAGAGTGAATATGAGTGCCATCATATGGTTGGCTTGCAAGTACTCGCGAGCTCTACTCGCTGAATATATAGGAGATACGGAGCATTACTTGGTTTAGCTGGCGAAGAGTTAACAAAGCAGAGTCTGCTTAGCAGACACCTGCGATCAAGATGGCGCTCGCCCAAAATAGATAAGACCCCACAAGCGCATGGTATCTGCCAGGTGCGTACGTTCGTTGCCCAGCTTTGAGTTTTAATTTCACTCTG